ATTTATTTCGTGTTATTGTATGAAGTGTTATTATGTCGTGTTAATTTATTTCGTGTTATTGTATGAAGTGTTATTATGTCGTGTTAATTTATTTCGTGTTATTGTATGAAGTGTTATTATGTCGTGTTAATTTATTTCGTGTTATTGTATGAAGTGTTATTATGTCGTGTTAATATATTTCGTGTTATTGTATGAAGTGTTATTATGTCGTATTATTGTATGAAATGTTATCGTATGAAGTGTTATTGTATTTTGTCTTATAATATATCCAATACGTAAACAGATACAGGCTATAAGGATCGTCCAGGCCGTGACTAACGAAAGGGGAAGGGCCGAGCTTAGACACTTGGTACGTAGCTGGGAGATGTTTAAAGGTATTTCATATATGTTGCTTATATAGTTTTGCCCCTTTAATCAGATGAATCTACTAAAAAAAAGTCTTATTAAATGAAATGTTATTGTATGAAGTGTTGGTATATTTCGTGCTATTATATGTCGTGTTGTTATATGAAGTGCTATTATATGAAGTGTTATTATATGAAGTGCTATTATATGAAGTGTTATTATATGAAGTGTTATTGTATTTTGTCTTATAATGATTTGTCTTATCATATGTCGTGTTATCATATGTCGTGTTTTTATATGTCGTGTTATTATATGAGTCGTTATTTTATGAAGTGTTATTATATGAAGTGTTATTATATGAAGTGTTATTATATGAAGTGTTATTATATGAATTATTATTATATTTTGTGTTACTATGTTTCATATCAATTTTATTTCATATTAAGGTATTTCCAGTTATTATATTTTGTCTTATTATACTTCGTCTCATTATATTTTATATTGAGGCATTTCGTGTTATTATATTTTGTCTTGTTATACTTCGTCTTATTATCTTTATTTTTTCATTATATTTGGGTTGTTTTCTTTCGTGTGATTTATCCCGAGTTATTATTTTTCGTCCGTTTTCATTTCGTGTTTCGGTGCTTTTATTCCAGGTTTATATATGTTTCGTACCATTATCTGTCGTCTTGTTCTACTTCTGGATTATTACTTTTGGTGTCGTTATATTTCCTGTTCATATATTTTTTGTTATGTATTTCAATTTTGATCATCTGTCGTCTTGTTCTACTTCTGGATTACTACTTTTGGTGTCGTTATATTATCTGTTCATATATTTTTTGTTATGTATTTCAATTTTGATCATCTTCCGTGTCATTGTCTTGTGTCATTCATCTTTTGTATTGTTTTTTCGTGCGATTATAGTTCGTGTCAGTCTTTCGTGCTATTCTCTCAAATTAGCTTTCATAAATGTTATGAAAGCTAATTTGATATTTTTGATGCTTTCATTTTCAATTACTTCTGGATCGCAAACTAAAAACAAATAAAAGAGAACTTTTTCTAATGCACGTATTCCTCACTCAAAGGTATACAATTAACAAAGTAAATTATCAATCTGAATAAATTATTCCGCAGACCCCAATATAGGCTTAATGGATATATATGACATAATATCATGGACGTATAAAATACATGTACGAAAAAACGAAACCGTCAAAAATCAAACAAAACTTCATTTCAATAACTAAAAAAAAATAGTGTAGGATCGTCTCCAAAACAAAAGTTACTCTAATGAGAAAATAAGCCATATTTCTTACAAATTAGATCTAGACGAGAAAAAAAAAAGACAGTAACCCTTGGTTGACTAACCAAAAACTTCGGAAATGACCGGGACGGTAATTTCCGAGTCTACGCGGTAATATAAATTGATACTCAGCTTCCGTTAAAGGCCCGTTCCCATAAAATAATTCCCACTCTAGGCTTCCAAAGTATCTTTAAAATCCCAACACCTCTTGCTACATTGATTCGTAATATCCTAGAGAGATCTTCCGCATTTCTGTGAAATCCCTCGTACTACAACAGTTGATTCTGGAACGCTCAAAGATACTGGCCCAACAAGCACTACTATTGCTAGCTTCAATTCTTGCGCCACTCTCTCCTCTAGTATTAAAGGATTTAACCTTTTTCTGTAATTTGCTCTTCTTTCATTAAGTGTACAAAGTGTTTGCGGGAGGCTCACGGTGAATATCCCCTTTCAAAAAAAAATTACTTTGTTTCTAAAAGTCTTCAGAGTCCCCGCAAATGGGGTATGTACTTCTTTCGCCGGTTCATATTCTTATTTGGCTAGATCCATAATTTCTCGTAGTCTCAAGTATGTGATGTCTGTTGATCGTTTCAAAGTTGTACCCTATACACGTTCCCCTAATTTACCCCAGCAGCTAGTCTTACTTTTGATACTTTTAGTTTCATTTTAATTGTTAGGACTCTGTACTCAGGTACAGCTGGTGTGAGCGGGTAGGCCCTAATGCAGAAACAGCAGAAACCAAGAGAAAAAACAACACACACTTATCCATATATTCGATGAGATTCACAACGCTTAATCTTCATGCATGGTTTTGTCAGCTAAAATTTGTAAAAGGCATATACTGTGGAATAAATAAAATGTAAACCCTCTTCCAAATTTGAGAACAAAAAAAAATCCTCTTGCTACTCAAATTATTCCAACTACAAGAGACGTAGCTTTCATGTTATTGTATTTCGTCTTATGTTATTTTTCAAACGAAATTCTGGCTCCGGACGACTATCCTTTCAAGAATCTAACAAATATGTATTGGTCTGTTACCATAAAATTCAAAATATACACTTGAAGACGTGGCGAGTTGCAGGAAGTGAACTCCTTTAGCCTCTTCAACCATCGGATTTGAAGCGACTACTATAGGAGACCTATCCTAGAAATCAATGAATAATATTCAATACGTAAATAGATGCGGGCCAAATTTCTAAAGCACGTCGTGCTTAACGGGAGGGGGCAGGCCGAGTCTCAGCGGGGAGCTGTTTTTATTATTTTTGGTTTTATTCCTTTGAAAAAATGAATTTACAAAACAAATCTATTTCGTGATCTGTATTTTGTGTCATCATCTTTCATGATTTTGTCTTTTGTCTTTTTATATTTTCGGTTTTTCAATTTCGTGTCCGATATTTTGTTTCATGTATTTCGGTTTCTATTTTAATTCGTGTCATCATATTTCGTGCTATTATATTCGTGTCACTATCTATTGTGTTATTCCTGTTATTATCATTCGTTTGGATATTTCGTGGAATCATTTTTCGTGTTATCGTCTCTGGTGTCTTGTTCTTTGTTTTTTTTTCTCGGCATTGTCTTTCGTGTTATGATCTCTCGTATGATAGTCCGTGCAATATTCTTGTTTTGTTGCACTTCGGGCTGTACCTTTCTCTGCTATATTGCGTGTCCCATTTATCTCGCGTCTACCGTGTTCTATCAATTCATACTTTAACCACTTCATGTTCTCGAAAGTTTTCACACGCTTTCATACTTTATAGTGTTTCGTGCTTTCTGATTGAACAGTCTGGCAATTGCGCTCTTCTAAATTCGTCCATCATATTTCTTTTTCTATATCCTAGTTTGAATCGAATATGCCCTTTAATATGGGCTTTGATCAAATCTTGTGTTTATTCTATATTTTTTCGTTGGATCTCGGCTGAGCGGGCTTCGCAATTAGTTGAATTTTGTTCGTGCTCGATCATTTCGTGCCTTGGTTATATTCTTCTGTCATGTCTCAATTTTTAGCCGTCTCTATTGTCTCGTCTCGCGCTTTCTCGAAAAAGTGTCTCATCTACAGCCGTGACATACAATAGTAAGTGTTCTCTATATTTAGTGCTCCGTACATCATGTGCTGATGCTTTCTGCCCATGAAACTCCGTTTTCCAATTAACCGCGCCTGTGTTACGTGGTATGTCATTCTTGCGTCATACCCATCTTGTGTTCTATATTTGTTGTTCCATATTTGGCTAGTATATTTGGTGTTCCATATTTGGTTATCTATATTTGGTGTTCTATATTTGGTGTTTCCTATTTGGTGTTCAGATCTCGGGCTCCTAATTTCTGCTGTATTCCTGGACAATGGCGTATGCACTGCAGGTTGTTCGAAGATTTCGATCTGTCTTCCACCGTGATCCTCTAACCTGAAAAGATCCTCCTGCCTTTCAAATCCGTCATTGTGTAGCACAAATATGGCCACCATACCAAGGAACAACAAGAGACGAAACAGATGGACCGACCGCTTGTTAATATATATGCAGGACGCCGGTGTTGGAGCAGTGGCTTCCTGGTGAAAGAAACCCTTTCAGACTGGTGAATAGCAATTGCGTTGATTTCACATGAAGCCTTGAAAATAGTGTTATTTCCGTCTTTGTTCCAGATCCATTCAGCTCCTTAATTAGTTTGGTGGGCACGTGACCAGCACCAATATCATACACTTCATACATCCTACCAGAATAGCCCCCCAACCCCCATTTTTCAAAGACAGCAAGCACATACATCTTATCGTTCGCTCCTGATTTCTTCTGCTATTCGGCAGCCTGCTTCTCCTTCTCCTGCCCTGCCTTCCCGGTAGATTTTTGTGTTTGTGCTGCGCACGACCTGCGTGGCTGACCGTGCATGGGCTCATCACCTTAAAGCAGTAGCACTGAAAGACGACAGAAGCCACACCACCAGTTCTTCTCGTCGTTTAGACTCCGGGCTTTTTCAAACATGGACCCTCACGAAGAACAGGAGCAGGAAATCGAGGTGCTTCGGTCCATCTACCCGGACGAGCTCACGGTTTTATCTCCCACGCATTTCACCATCTACTTGAATCTAGAAACTTCTTCGGACAGAAAACACGCGCTTTTACTCGACGTGAAATACCCCCCATCATATCCCGAAGTGGCGCCGGGTCTAGATATCCGGACTGTGCAGGTCGAAGACGACTCGGCGGATTATGAAGATCTGGACGACGACGACAATGATGCCCCCGAGCAGTATGTGAGTTTGGCAGAAGGCGTCGAATTCGAGCGCCCGGACTTGGCCGAGTTGCTGGACAAAATCAACGAGGAGGCCGAGATGAATATTGGCATCCCGTCCATTTTCGCCGTTGCCGCCATTTTGAAAGACGAGGCCGAGCTTTTGTTCCAGCGAAAAGTGGACCAAGCCCAGAAGGAGTATGATGATGAGCTTTTGGCCCGAGAGGCCGTGGAGCAAAAAAAATTCAACGGTACTAAAGTGACCCAGGAGTCTTTTACGCAATGGAGAAACGAGTTCCGTGCCGAGATGAAGGTCGAGGCCAGAGACAAGGAGAGGTTTGACAGGATGCACAACGGCAAAATGACCGGGAGAGAGATTTTCGAGAAGGGCCTCGCGGGAGAATTCGACGACGAGCTTGCGGACCTTCCGGACTCGGTGGCGAAGTTGGAGGTCTAATCACATTCGCTGACCATAGATACAATGTATATTCAGACGATGGACTTGATGTAGATTCACGGAGGGTGAGAAGCACGGATTTTCAGCTGGAGGGGGCTTTGTAGACAGCAGTGCGTCTACTAGTGGTGCTGGTTTTGTATGGAGATCCTGGATCAACGGGGCTAGTTCTGTATGTCTGAAACTGCTGATGGATAGTGACCCTGCTGATGGCCATACATACGGCTCTGCTTGGCTGGTAATTATACCAACAAGCACTACTCCACATTCGAGATCCACTGCCACACTTTCATGACCTCACCATGCACCTCCAAAAGCTCGTGTTTCACGTTAGTGTTGCGGTCGACCTTGTGGCTCACGGCTTGCCAAAGCCTCATTTTGTACGAGAGATTACGCTCGCTGCTGAGAATTAAGTCACGGAGCTGTACGGACCCAATGAATTTGGGAAGCTCACGTGAGTCTCGGCCCAATCTGGCTTGTCTCTGGAGCTTACTCAAAACCTCGTGATAGAGTGTGTCCACTTTGTCCGAGTAGAGCTTGTACTGCTGGTACTTCCAATAAGCAGCGTAGACAGCAGCACATAACGCAGCAACGGCAGCCAACGTCTTCTTGAATCGCAAGGCTAAACTAAGAATCGTATTTGACATCATGCACTTGAGACTGACGTGCGATAAGGACGTTGATCGAAGAACCTTGCTTTCGTCGTACGTCTCTGCAACAGGGTCGTTAGAGTCAACTGGGGATGGTATGAGATGATTGGTGTGTCTGACCTGCAAATGTTAGTAATGAGCTCGAGGCGTATCAAACTTTATCGAAATGGGGTAACTTGCCTTACAATTATTTCGGGTTCTTTTTCCAACTCCACCACGGAGCGCTCCCATAACTCCTCAAATTCCTCTTCAGTGATGTATGGGGCTTTCAATGCCAACAAAAGATCGTGGAGCTCCGAAACATGGAGCCCTGCACCGGTGTCATCCGCGTCCGAGCGGCCGCAGTTCTCATTGGCATTCCTTGCCCTCAAGAGATCAAGAGCAACGTCAATCATAATCTCGATCTTCTCGGCCTTCTTTGTGTCGGGTATACACTTCTGTGCCTTGAGATTGAAGTTGGGCACATACGGGTAGTACCATGGCGTCGAGACCACGAAATCATCGTAGCACGCAACCTCAAGGCGGGGGAAACATCTGGCATGTTGGGGGCACTCTACACACTCGGGTTTGAAGTTGTTGTCCAAGTACTCCCCAAGCCCCGCCAAGATTCTCGACGTGTCTGGTGTATCAGGAACAGTTCTGCGGTTGATGGACTGGCCACAGTATCCAACGAGGAAGGTCTGCTCTCTGTACCAGTATCCGAAAAGAAGTGCACTCACCAAGCCAAGCCAAAGGACTAAGTAGGAGATGACCCGCGAAAGGGATGCTCTTGGGTTTGAATTCTGGCATAAAGACTGCAAGGCCTTTCTGCTGGCTGATACACGAGGAGCGTCTGGTTCAGACAAAAGCGTGTGATTTACGCTCGCAGCGGCAGGCTCGTCCTCGTCTTCAGAGGAGAGCTCATCTTCCAAGGAATGAAGGCTCACTTTCTCGATTTCTGGCGAGTTTGCACGGCTGCGTGCTAACAATGCCAGCGGAATGACTATGGGCCTCCTTGGTGTGATGGATCTGGCACCTTTCTTCTTGGGCTTGATGCTGTTTATGTCAATGTTGAAAAGTTTGGCCAACTCTTCCTTTTTCTGCTGTGGCGAGAGCACATCCTGACTGCGGGTCTCTTTCTTTAGCTTTGAAAGCGCCGAATCAAAGTTTTGCGTCGCTGAGGCAGTCGAGTCCAATTCCTCGCCGAGATGTGGACTTCCGTGGACCTGGAAAGACAGTTGCGATTTGAACCACAAGCTGGGCTCCTCTGTCAGCTCACTGACTATGGTGGATGTTTCCTCTGCACCCTCGTCATGCACGATCTCCTGCAAAACTGGTGGTTCAACTTCAGACTCGACAGTTGCCAGTTTCTTTTGGGAAGGCGTGTGCTCGTTAATGTCGTTGGATCCTATGACCTTCTGTGATACGGGGGACGCAGAGGCTGGCTCGGAAGCATGTTTTTCCATTTTCGCCTCGACACCAGAGACGCCTGGATCGGCCAAAGGCTTGACTCTGGAGACCGGGGAGCTCAGAGAGTTCAAGAACGACTGATCTGCGCCGCGTTTTTGTTTCTTTCTCCGCGACGAAAGCACCTCCGGCTCTGATTCCGAGTCCACCTCAAACACGTTGCCTTTCAGTGGCGTGGCGGCAATTGGAAGGTCGATTTCCTCAAGCATGGACCTTCTCTTGCGCTGTCTAGACGCGCTCAGCGATACGTGATCTGGCATGGACAGTCCTTGGTTTGCCGCGGAAAGCTTCCCATGTTCGCGGCCCACACTTTCATTACTTCTGGGTGAAGCACGCTTGCTGATTTGCGTTCTGTCCGGCGTCTCGTACTGGGCCTTGTTTTCCTCGGTCTTTCGAGGCGTTTCATCCACTTTGAACGAATCAAGAAGCTTGATGTCGGGCTTTTCTTCCAGACTAGTCCCCCGTTCCGAGATTTCTGGAGCAGCAGGAGCGTGGTCAGTGCGTTTCCTGTGTTTTCTGGTCTTCTTCTTCTTCAGGCCTTTCCCGTGGTCTTCTGTGGCGTCTGGAAGCGCGGTTTTGGAGACTTTTTCCTCGGGTTTTTCGAGGGGGCTCTCGAGCTTCCGGTCCTGTTTCGACCTTCGGGATGGCTTGGGCTCTTTCTGGAGCCTCTGATCCTCGAAATCGCCCTCTGCAATAATTACAGAGGGCTTTGCTGGGGGGGCTACATGCTTGAGGTACAAATCGACCAACTCGGCTTTTTTCGCGTTGGACGCGTACTCGACGCCATGGTCAAGCAAAATCCCACGCAACTTCGCCTTTTTTAGCAGCAACGGGTTCAAACCTGGGATGTTAGTTCATCGCATATTTGTTCCAAGAAACGAGATTCGGAGATGGAATGTCTGGGCATCGGGACAATCGGTTCCGTCCGCCCGGCATCCATAATCTCCGATCAGATTATTTACGTACCGCCTTGAGGATGGTCTCCGTCCATGGATAAAGAGAATTCGAGTCACGAACGTGGAGATGGCTCTAACTGAATGTTATTCCATCAGACAATGTATATGTGCGGTTTGTGTGTCTATGTGCAGTCGCGGCCGGGCGATCTGTAATGGCAGAGTGGCAGAACGCTGATTTATATGCCTCAAGAAGATTTGCGTCAGGCTGCGAGCTGTCGTGTGTGGTGTTTTTGGAATCCCAATTTGAGGGTGATTTTGGCGGTGGTTTCATCTGGGCCGTGAATATTGCGACTGCCGCAATCCGCTAGTCTATATGCGAATCTAATATTCGTTCAGATGACGGGCAGTGACAACGGCAAAAAAGCTCAAGGTGGTGGAAGAGGTGTTCTCTTGTTGTGTCGATCGCCACCATTGCTTTGCCTGGCTGGGTCTCGAGACTCGATCAGCAGTAACACAAAATAGGAAATATGGATACAAATACCAGCGCTTGTGCTCCCCTTCTCATAGGCACAAATTGGCCTAAATCAAGGAAGCTCTAGGGAGGCGTTCATCTGGTGCCTACCGCCTACTCTGACCGTGGGATCGCATAGGGAACTATATGTCGTCTTCTCGAGCTAGTGTAATTCTAAGCTGGAGGCGAAGTCGGATATTGATGTTTATCCAGACGAGGTGTGCCTCGGTCTTGGTGTCATGAGTGATGCAATGGCAATGTTGCAAGCAGTGGAAACTCAAGCTCCAACCATGATAGCTCGACCATCCATCCTGGACCACACCGGGCAAGTAAAACAGGCTGCGACAATTTACGTCCATGCCCCATGAGACGCACCACTTCGAACCGTATCCTTTGTCATGACTTTGCTAGAGATACCCATTTAGATACAGATGCGACTTTTCGAGCGTCGCCAACGTTGAAGCATCCTCCAACGCCACGTGCTCAGGATAGCCGGCTATTCCCAGGACCGAAAAATTCACAGGAAGCTCCTGCAACAACTCCAACTTTGGGTCAGTGTCTACGTGGTTGACGTGCAAGTTGATGTTGGTTGTTCTGCACAAGTCCCAGTTCAATTGGCTCAACAAGTTGAAGAGAATCATGAAACGCGCAGAATTAAAGCATGCATCCTCGTTCTGGGCCTGGTACGTGATGCACAAGCTGGTCAATGGGTGCACGCCTAGTTCTAGAAGCTTACTTTTTTCATACAACTGGCAGATTTCCCTCATGTCGTTATTCCCCGTCTCAACAATAGTGACATGGAGCCTGGCGGCCCGCGTCTTACTGAGCCTTGGAAAACCCGGCGAGTCCCCTGCCATGTTGATACAAATTCTCATTTCTGACCGGCCACAGGGCCCGGTCTCGACAGCATCAGAAAAATTACCATGTGACGTCGAAGCCATGGGTCCAGTGGACCCCATTCCTCGGTTGGGTTTGACTTTGATGCCAAAGGCGGTAAATTTGATTTGTTGTTGCCAAGAGCGAAAAATACGAAACGTGATTCTCAATGGTATATCGATATGGCACTGAGTCCTGTCAGCAGTTCAACAGACCGACGGAGAGCTTGTTGGCAAAAACAGCGAAAGAGATCATATGCGACGAAATCCGAGAAAGCACAAAAAGAAGTAGAGAAAAGCCACCGTGATAGTTACAGTCCTGGCTCGACCGGCAGGAAGATCCAAGCACTATACCAAACGAAGCACTAAGGAGAAAATGGCGTGCGCTGCACAAGAAAGCCGGAGCGGGTGCCGTCTTATCGCCGAATCAAGTATGTCAGGCGGGACGGGCACGTGACCCTGCCCGACAAACATTCCGATAAGGCGGGGCCGAGTGCCGCCGCACAGAACGCAAACAAAAGAAAGAGTCACACATTGCAACCCTCTGCAACATCGCGCGTCTTAATGCGAAGAAATAACTTTAAAGTGACATCAGGGTGTACGCATCTCAACTTCGCGTTCACATGATCTTTAACTTCGACGAGCGCACTCCACTTTTCCGGAAACGCTCCTCTCTGCACACCCTCGCACCCAAATTAATTATTGGACTTCAACCGCCGTCAGCAGCCTTCCGTTGGCCGTCCTTTTCAGTACCCCAAATTCGGGGACTACCCCGCATGCTCTTGATACGATGCTTACCATGATAGTAGCAAAACCACCCACAGCCTGAGTAGCTCAGCATTCCCAGAGTGTGCTCTCGGTTACGAGTATATTCGAATAAGGTAATTGGAGACGAGCATAGCTGACTCGCCTAGTCTCGGCAAGAAGCTTGTCGGAGTATCTTTACGCGTAGCGAAAACTTTCCAAATCAGGTAAGCCAAGCGAGCTCGTACAAGAGCAAAACCCAGCGCATCCCCGAGCCGACTCCCTATGAGCATGCGAAAGGTCCCACATTTCCTGGGAAATCCGAATCGGGGCGCCACGAACATCATGTCTACAGTACGAGTCTATTAATCTGTTAACTTGTCTTTTCGTGCTCACAACCACCAGCCAAGAAAAGCTGAAATAAGAAGTAGGCCGTCTCGCTCGGTTTGTATGCCCACATGTTGCATGCAGGTCACGGGCAGCATTCACAGATCTGATTCGCCCAGAATAGACTTTGGCTTGACTTTTTCTCCCTATTTACCAGTCACTTCTAGAAAACATCGAAAAACGATTGGTCCGCATGATTAAGGTTCATCAAGCTGAGGCCCTTACCACTTTGAAAACACAGACGAGGACCATCGAACACTGCAGGAGCAGTGTCCCGTAATTCCATTGCGGAATTGTCCGTCTCAAAACTCCCGGGAATAGGTGGGAATCCCCCCATATATGAAAGTTTATGCGCCTGTGGAGTTCCGGCTAAACCAGTCCATTTTCAACGGTTTTTCCCGGCTTGTATGCACACTCGTCAGTGTACCCAGTGGCATTTCACGCCTGACAAGCGGGGAAAAATCCCATATCCCAGCATGAATCCGCCCACCCATCAAACCATGTACGAGACAAATACCTTGCAATTTCTCGTTCGCTAATACAAGCAGTGAATGCACACTTACCCTTACTTCCACTTTTCGTACTTTCTCACAAAATCGATCTCAACGCAATTACGTACAGGCACGAGCTACACAACCCAACAGATAGTTAATGCGCTCGCACTGGCGATGACGTTATTTTAATGCTCATCCGCATTGCGAAGCCTGAGTATACATTCTGATGCAGAACTTTCCAATTCCGGCGCGGCTCAGAGCTCGCATTGAAGCAGCAGTTTTGGGTAGCGCGGGAGCCAGATGATGCAGGCCTCGCTTGAAATAATAGGTGCCACATTAGGGATAAGCATTTCTCAAAGAGCCGATGGAGAAGACAGCAGTATGAAAAGATCATAACAAAGTATGGGCCTAGCCAGTACCATCGACTATTTTGCTCAGGGTTTTGCGTGCAGCCTAATCCTGCTCCCTGGTACAGGGTGCGCAAGTTAGTCGGGTAACTATACACGAAATGCGGCAAGGGCGAGCACACGGCAAGTAGAAACGAAGGGGCCGACGCATCGGGTTCTCGCCACCAAAAACGCAAAACTACCTTCCCCCCTTAGGTTTTCTGAAGAGCCAGCCAACTCTGGCCACTATCAATACCAGCAAGTGGGGTGAGTAGGTACTGCCTACAACCATACCATTCAAAGCTGAACATTGGGAGAAACATAAATTTCTCACGAGCACAAATTCCGCCCGACGAAAATTTGATGTCGGCGCAAATCCCGAATTCGTCTTCGGCTAAATTGGCCAGCAGAGGTGTACCATAACCGCCCAGATCATTGCGTCTTGCGTTTTTTCCAGCATACAGCGCGAAAGGAGGAACGTTTGTTGTTTGTTCAACGTGAAATCGTGTCCTTTTCGCGCATGAATTGGAGGCTGGCATGCTATCCGATCTGCAAACATGCATTGGGAAGGACCCCCGGCACGATTAGCCGAACACAGATAGAACTTCAAGGGACCAAGACCACCCATAGCATTGCACGCCTCGAGCAGTTTGGTGCGTTTTCTTTTTTGTTTAGGCGTTTTCGTCAAGCTGCGGAATTAATCTTCGAAGAGCATAGCTCGACTTAGCATTACGCTGTACAAGGCCAAGTCCAATGCCTGTCAAATACACGTGAATACCACCTAAGGGAAATTCGAAGGGCATACTTGAACAATTCTCGTATTGTTTGTCCCTGCTCGATTCCATGAAGTTTTTGCGCCTCTCGCAAACTCCGTGTATTCGTAAAGGCCTCCACACTCGCTAACATCGACCTACATAGACGGGGGTCAGGCGTTTTATTTTTTTTCTTGTCCTCTGCGCTCAAGAGCGCGCAGATCCAGAGACGAGACATAGACAGATGTACACGCAAAGCAGGTATAGCCTACGAGACGCAGATCGACTTCGCATGCAAAAACAGCACAAACCGAGAAAGTCAGGCCATGTAGGGCCTTTCGGTTGTAGTCTTAGCGATGCCAAAAGAGCAAGCTTTATTTTCAAAGACAGGTAGTCAACAGAAAAGTACGTTACTGCCTGCAGGTGTAAGTGTTGCCAAGACCCGAAGTGCTTCGCACCTCCATAGTCTGATGAGCTTGTCGCTACTCCGCACACAAAAAGAAATATGTTCTCCAATATGTTAACAAGCAAAGGGCAGAAGATAGAAGAGAAGGGTTTGAATTTATTCGAGCAGCAAATCAAGCCCGAGTTTTGAAATATTTAGAAAACAATAAAATAAATGAACCTTTAGTCAACAGTATCGAAGCAATAGACTATTCAGCTGAGCTGAAGAAGCCACATCGGTTGTGTGGTCAAATCTTGCAAATTGTAATTTCAGAGTTCGGAACTGAAATACATTGAAAAAAAAATTTAAAGAATACAGGAACAATTTCACCCCTCGTGACGCCTTAGATGGCAAGACGAGATGATGCACTGAGTGCGTTTCAGTCTTCGGGAAGGACCAATCCCGCGCGCGCCCAAAACAAGGTAGTAATTTTGTGTGGACAAGAAGAAAAAAAAACAGTGAGCACAACAAAAATCACACATACACACCTTGCATGCACTCACCAAATTCAGGCTTTCCCCGACGAAGTTGTGTTCAAAAAGGACATTGTTGTAGCAAGAAAAAGAAGTTGTTCTGCTCTCCTATGAAAGACAGTGTCAGCTTCATGCTCGGAAAGTTACTGAATAACACACGAACGTACCACTAGTTTAAAAGTGCAAGGCTTATTGGAAACCTTCATATTTTTGGCAAAGCAGGCTAGAGCAGCTGAAACGAGGCGTTTTTCTCTTGGACTGCACAGACCAACAGCTCCCATGTACATCAGCTTATGTATCTGTAGCTGCTCGACTTGGCTTGCGCCGCATGTGGGTGTGCATATACCCCGTGAGGCGCTTGTCGATCTCAAAGTCTGCCTTCACATGTCCATCCCGTATAAAACCTAACGGCTGTTCGTCCACGTATGGCAGAAGCCTTTTTTTTGGCTTCTCAAATTTAACAAGCTTTTCCACACCACCACCCATCTGGCTTTACCACCAATCGCTGGGAGCTGAACATTTTCTCGGCCTCCCATTCTAATTGTAGCCCTCGGACACATTCCAAGTGACCGTGTCCGTCTACGCCCTCCTCCCCCCAAAAAAAAGCTTACCGCCCGCCCGTGAACTTCATATTCACAGCCATCCACATTCGTCTTTAATTAACCCAATCATGCCACAGCTCCCCTCAGTGTCTGAACTCCTAATCGGCGCCCATAACCCGGCGGGTCCGGGCGTTAGGCCTGAGTCTCAACTACCCCAAAGTTACAAATCCGTGACAGCCGCCCAAAAAAGGCTGTCAGAAACAAGCCCCCGGCAAAAGGAGGTGTTTTTGCCTAGCGGCCCGGTGAAACCCGCACGTGTGCTGCAGCTGATCCACGCATACCCGGGCATGGCGCACGGCCACATGGACGGCCATGTGGCCACAGCGCATCTCGCCAAGGAAAGTCATGTGGGACCTAGCGCCATGTCCAGTGGGCGTAACTCAGTGCTGAGCATTGGGCTGGATTCGCATGTGCCTATGGACTGCTTCAACTACCGCGAAAGCCATCGCCCAAGACACGTGCTGGTCCATCTGCAACTGCTGCATCTGCAACTGCATCTGCTGCTGCTGCTGCCCCAACTTCATTACCGGCCAAGACAAGAGTCGAGCGCTGGTCTCGTCACACGCGCCACGCTGTACCAAAGCTTTGGCTCGCAGGAGTCGCGGCTGCCGCTGGGCGAGTCGCCCACTTTCGCAGCACGCCCGCGCCCCGCGTCGTTTTCGTATGCCCCAGGCCCTGTGCCTGCGGGAGTGCCAGGCCCGGCCTACAACCCGCAGATGACGCAGGCGTTCCACGTTGCAGGCCCAGCTACCGGGCCAGCCCCGGGTGCGCCCGGCATGGTGATCCCCATGGCGTTCTACAATGGTGCCACTGCAGGCAGTGGCGAGGCCGCCAACTATGGTCAGCCGGTCCCTATGGTCGGGTACCCAGGCTACTACAACACGGTGCCTTATAATGCACAGGTCAGTCCTGGCGCTGCTGTTGCGTACGAGCACTATCCACACGCGCAGTTCAAGGCGGGGCCCCCTTATTTGCAGATGGAGGGCATACCTGCCGGCCACAGCTCCGCACATTACCAGAAACATGGGGTATCCATGGAAGAGATGACCAGCGACCCAAACCATGCGCTCATCAACAAGCGGTGCATCATCAAACGCAGAACGCGGACGGGGTGCCTCACTTGCCGCAAGCGCCGTATCAAGTGCGACGAGCGCAAGCCTCACTGCTTCAACTGCGAGCGCCTGAAGAAGCTCTGTTTGGGCTACGAGGCTCTGAATGGGAAGGACTCCAGCAACGAGAATACTGAAAAGGAAAGACTGAAAGGTGGCCTGAGAAGCGACCCAAGCAGCCCCACGAGCCCCAGCGGCCCGCTGCCCTCGAAGGAAAGACACCGCTCATCAGTGCACGATTTGATGTGATCTACAGATACATAAATGTACTCAATAGAATAATTAGAAACGACGCTAATAAAACCAATAGTGCGTGGAATATCCGTTGAAGGCTTGGGGGAGCTCATGAAACACGGGACAGCGCTGGCACTCACACACGCGCGGGCCGCCCCTTCGACGTATGGCAGCTGCACACTGGGTTCTATTTTCTTACTCTATTTTTGCAATTTTTGCGTTTTTTGCCCGCAGATTTTTTTTTTTTCTTGTCTTTTACTCCCTCTTGCACTTATGTTTTTTTCTTGTCATTTTCTTCACTTGCTTCTCTTTTGTCCTCGTCGTCTCAACACAATACCTAAAGTTCGGCACATGAATCTAAAACTTTTCAACAAGCCGACTCATTTCTTGGGACAACACCGGGTGGGTTCACCACTTCCCCTTGATACTGGTAGAGTGTTCCGTTCGGCGGCATATCTCAGGGGGGGAGGTGAAAAAAGCAACGTTTAGTCGCAACCGCAAATTTGGCCGTGGGCCGAGAACACCGGGTTTTACATACCCAGCCCACCTCGTCGGCCGATCCTGCCCACGTATGCCGGCGCGCAAGATCAAGCGCAAAAATGAAAGAGGAAATGGAGCACTTCCCTTGGCATTGTTGCCCACGCAGCTCATGTTAATTCTTATCTGTCGCCGAGCATCGATCTGGGCACGGCGTGGATGGCTCGCCGATGATTCGCCTCTGTGAATATAGCGGTGGCTAAATGTCTATAAAGTGTGGGATACCGTCGTAGCCAGAGTGGTCACGTTTTTTTCGGAAGATCAGACAGCCGGCCAAACGAGCGCGCAGGTGTCGACGCTAGACATATTATTTCTGTACGTGGGAAGGCGTACTAGGTGCAGTATGAGCTTGGAACTGCATGTATGTATGCGGCGGCTTCCGCCGACAGCGGTGGGCTTTCCACGTTGTAGCGCGGTTCGAGACCACTGGATGGGAAGGGGCTTGCTACGTTGGAAAGCCTCCTATTCGACGCGCCAGCAAATCCAAACCCTCGGCGGACAATAGCGGCGACGAACACTAAATTTTTCTTGCCCGTGGGCGGGAATGTATGTGCAGTATATATGTATTGTTGGATCCGAGACGGCGAAGCAAGCACTGGCGCGCGCGTGCAGCTGCTATATTGCATACCCAGATCCAGGCTGGCTTGCCCCGGGTCGTGCCGGGTTATCCGCGACATGCGACTTCCACTTAAAGCAGCAATGTGCCGGTACAGATGTCGTCATGCCACTGACGTGGGGAATTGGAGACCACTGACGCCATGCTTGCTCTCAAAAGTTGTAGTGGCTTTAGAAGGGACTGTTTCAAGCATGACGCTTGGGGTGTCTTTTAAAATGTCTTTGAGCATTGACTTTCTGACGTGACCTCGGAAAAGACTCCGGAACTAACTCCGGAACTGACTCCGGAAATGACTTCGGAAGAGACTCCAGAAGAGACTCCGGAAATTGCTCGGGAAGTGACTTTCGAAATGACTTTCGAGAGGTTTCGTGGGATGACTGCCTGGCCAGCGGTTTTGTAAGCCAATCCTCATTTCGGTAATATAATGCCAGTTGTTTCCACCCAGGTCCTTTTGAAGCCAAATCTTCTCTCGGAGCCACGTTGCAACCAAAGGGTTGTTTTCGAAGACTCTGGCTTGTTCAGACTCTTTTCCGGGCCCGGATTTTTCAGAAGCTCGCTAGCCCAAGCGACATGTTTTTGGCGCCTCGATTAAACGTGTTCTCAGGTCCGTTCCACTTCTGAGATGAGTGTATCCCCAAGCGGATTTCACGCGACATCTCCTCTACATCTCCTCTTGTGGCCACCGTCATCTCGGAAGTGTCTTCAAGACCTTTCGTCCCAAGCAACGTCTTTTCAGGAGGCAACCGTAATCCGACCATACTCCCAAGCGAAAGCCCGAGCGGAAGTTTTAGTACCGTCTTTTCAGCAAGCCCCCGTCATCCTAGCGTACCCGCAAGCATCGGCGGTGCCCAAAGCCCGGCGACCAATGCCACGTTCCCTCGTGAGCACGCCGCAGCGCAGCTACCAGAGCACGGACGCGCAGGGCAGTAGCCCCGCCCCCCTCGCCTAGGCCCGCTCCATCTCCTGCACCACGTAGTCAAGCACGTAGGTCTCCTCGAGCATGGCGTCGAGCCGCAGGAAGTGGCGCTCGTTGTACGGCACGATCAGGTCCACGGCCCGGCGCATGTCGGGGTCGGCCATGTCGAGGCGGGCGAGCACCACCGCAAGCACCTTTTGCGCGATCTCGAACTGTTTGAAGTTGATGTTCCAGTCGCGCACGCGCTTGAGGAGCGCGGCCATCTGCAGCGGGTCGAGCGCCTTCATGGTGGCCTCGAGCAGGCGGCACCCCACCGGCAGGCCGCGGTCGGCAGGCGCCGCAATCAGCAGCTTGACCACGTTGTACACGCGCATCAGGTGGTCCAAGGTCAAGGCGAGCAAGAACGCGGAGCTCCAGTCACGGCGCCCCACGCAGTTGGCCAAGGCCTGCTCCTGCTCCACGCGCTGCTTAAGGTCGAGCTGGCGCTGGGCCGCGAGCGCGTCCGTGGCGTCGGCCCAGAAGCTCATGTGGCCGTCCGCGTCCGCGGATACGATGTGCGCGCCGTCGGCGCTCACGTCCATGGCCCAGATACGGTTGGCGTGGTTGTCGAGCGTGGCCACGCAGTCGCTGTCCTTGAGGTCCCACACCTTGACCAAGCCGTCCGCGCCGCAGCTGACCACCTGGCGGTTCTTGCTGGAGAAGCGCACGCGCTGCACCGCGTTGGTGTGGCCCTCCAAGGTGCGCGTGCACGAGTAGTCGTGCAACAGCCACACCTTGACGGACTTGTCGCCCGCGGCCGTGGCCACCATGCGGTCGTACTGGCAGAAGCTCACGTCCCACAAGCCGCGGCGATGGCCGCGCAAGACGCCCACGGTGTCGCCGCTGGCCGCGTCCCACACCTTGGCGGTCTTGTCGAACGACGCCGTGGCGAAGAGCGCGTCGTTGGGCGCCATGGCCACGGCATTAATGTCCTTGTCGTGCGCGCGCCGCGTGTACTCGCTGCTGCGCACCGTGGCGCCCGCCTGCGCCGGCACCGCCCAACGCTTGACGGTCAAGTCCGCGGACGCGGTCACCACGAACGCGGGCGCCGCGGCCGCCGCCCGCGGCAACGCACACGCGGTCACGGCGCCCGCGTGGCCCGCGAACGTGCAGTGCAACTCGAAGCGGCCGGCCGCGGCCAGGTGGCGCCACAAGCGCGCGTCGTGGTCCTTGCTGCCCGTGAGGATCCAAAGCCCGTCGGGCGACACGTCCAAGCAGTTGAGCAAGTCCGTGTGGCCCTCGCAGAGCTGCACGTCGAGCGGGCGGCGCGGGTCCACGATGCGCAAGGCGGGCGCGTTGGTGGCCAAGGCCACGCACGCCAAGCCCGGGCCGGCGCGCCGGAGGTCCGCCACAATGCCGTGGTTGCCCGCAATAAGCCGCGCAGTGGGCACGGCCACGGCATTGGCGCCGGGCTGGGCCTGCGCGTTTTCGAGCGCCAAGTCCACGAGCGTCTGGTCGCTGAGCACCATGGCCAAGTGCGCGCCGCCGCGCGTGGGCGCCACGTGCGTGGCCACGGTCTCCTCCAGCGTGGCCAACGGCACGCGCGAGCCACCCGCGGGGCGGCCGGCAAGGTCCCAGAGCCGCAAGTGCGCGCCGGTGCCGGCCGTGTAGAAGAGCAGCCTGCCCGCGGCCGCCACGAAGCCGCACGCCTCGACCAGGTGGCGCACCGCGAGCGTGGCCACGGGCCGCCGCAAGTTGCTGGTGCGGTAGAGCACGGCCACCTCGTCGCGGCCGGCGGTCAAGAAGTGCTGGCCGTCCGCCAGGAACGCCACGCCGCGCACCGCGCCGCTGTGCTCCGCGGCCGAGGCCACGCAGCGGCGCGCCACAAGGTCCCACACCTTGCTGGTGCCCATGGTGTCGCCGGACGCGAGCTGCCACGCGGCCAGGTGGAGGCGGCCCGCGAACGCCAACGCGCACACCGTGGCGCCGTGCCCCTTGAGCGCGTGCGTCACGTAGCCGCCGGCAATGTCCCACACGCACACAAGCCCGTCCGTGGCGCCGAACGCAAAGAGCGACGACGTGCCGTCCGCCGCCGCCATGTACACAGGCGCGCCGAACTTGTGCAGCTTGCAGAGCGCGCCCGAACGCATGTCGTACACGCGGAGCTGCTGGCTCTGCGACACCACCGCGAGCCACGTGCCGTCTGGCGTCATGGCCAACGCAGACACGCTTTCACCGTCACCGGCCAACGTGTGCAACCGCCGGTCCGAGGCCAAGTCGGTGACAATGACCGCATCGTCCAAGGGCGTGGCCACCACCGCCGAGTCGCGCGCAAACGCTGCGGGCGTGGCGCCGGTGTAGAAGGGGCCGAGGGCCTGTGCCGTGTAGGCACATTTGATGGGGTCCGCCATGGTGTAGTATGGGGGGAGAGGGAAGAGGGAAGAAACAAAGTAGTATGGAGGGAAATGGGAGATTTGATTGTGCGAGCAGAGAAGAGCGCGCGGCGTGTGCAGGCGCGATGGCGCGGGAGTGAGAGGAGATGGAGAGGAGAGGAGGAGGAAGAAAAGAAGAAGAGGAAGAAGAAGGAAAATAAGAAGGAAAAGAAGGAAAAGAAAAAGAGAGAAGAAAATAAAGAAGAAGAAGAGGAAGAAGAAAAAGAAGAAAAAGAAGAATTGGATGTGGATGGGGATGGAAAGGGAGGGGTGGTTTGGACTGGTGTTTTTGGTGCGGCCTGGGCTGGCTTTCAGTATCAGATTTCTCAATTCAAGTATGTACGGTACTTCGGATCCTTAGGATACTACTATTCTCTAAAAACCCTTAAGGAAGAAAGGAAAGGGAAAAAACTTTCCCTGTACGGAAGTTTTTTTCTCTTGCCACGTGAGGGATGCCTACGTGGCGGATACCACGTGACACTCCCCGGAATGATGTAATTAGGGGCTTCACTATTCATCATTCGTCTCAGTTGATCTCGCCATGACTTTTTTAGGGCTTGGATATCGCGATCACTCTGATCGCATACCTCTTGTCGAACCCCAAATATGGGTGGTGTCTCCCGAAAGGCACGTACAGTAATGGTTTAGTGAACGTGTCGGCGATGTTATCTTCGGTCCCGACCGTCTTCACTGTGATGTCTCCTTTTTGTACTCTATCTTGGACATGTTTCTCCTTTATGTCCACCGTCTTGCTGTTGCTGGGGTTGCTTCCTGTTCCATTGACGGACAAAACAACGCCCCTGTTGTCTTCGAGTATGGTGGGCACCTCTATTGTATCTAGGCTCAAGTCCT